TACATTTAGGAGTTTCCACAGTGAAGGGGTGAGAGCGGGATGCCAGCCTCATAGGGCGCTGGAACTCATGACTTTATATTACTTCATGTAACTATGCATTCTTCTGTCCCCTCTGATGTTCTCTCTCTATCTCTCTCTATCTCTCTCTCTCTTTCCTTCCCGAACTAACCAGTCCCATTCTACAAACTGACACCATAAACAGTTTGAAAAATCCTGCGAATTTGAAATTTTAAAATTCGCGGGTGAAAATGATCATTAACTAATTGTATCTTAATTCCAACTGTACGAAAAACTTTGCTCTGTTTAATGAAAATAAACACTGAGCGATTTTGTGAGTCAGTTTTAACATTTAATATTTCAAATTCTATATTATGTTAATAAGACTCGCTTGGGTTATACCAACGGGTTACTACCTATCATATATATATATATATATATATATATATATATATATATATGATAAAATATAATTTTATGGTATGCTATATTTATGGGTTAAAGTGTTCAATGTCAGGGATAGAGAGATATAAATATATAAAAGTGACTATTGAAGTCAACAGCCAGAGGCGACTGTCTGGTTCATGCTAAACGCCATCGTCAGGCCATCCAATACCGTTTAGTATTAAAGAGACTGTCGCACCTAGGTGTTGACTTTAATTTACACTTTTATATTTACACACACACATATACATGATAAGGTATAATTAAGTGCCCGATACTTCTCTCGTATTACAATCCATATTTGATGCCAACACACACACACACACACACACACACACACACACACACACACACACATATATATATATATATATATAACAAAATATAGTTGAATTTCAATTATAATGGTTGATGAGGGTAATTCTGGAAAATAATGTGGAAGATAAAGCCAAAACTCTTGTAATTATAGTGTCAGATACAACGATATAGAATATTGCAGGTTTATTCATGTAAGTATAAAACCGAATTATCTTGCCTCTCCTATTTTTGGCACATTGCCTTTTTGCTTTTCTCTGTCTTGTCGATATTGTTTGCCATTTTCTTTGGCCAACAACCCTATCAGCTTTTGTCACTCATCTAATTGAAGCTAAATCCACAGACATCATTCACACAGATGCCGTATTCTTTGATTGTATTTCGTACTGATTTTATATTTTACTTTGCCCATTTATGAGACTCATTCTTTCATAGCACAAAGGAATTTTCAAGTCTTTTTGCTTTTAGAGATACTACCGACGAAAGATCTATATGCAGTGTGAACTGCACATTTTCACTTACTGCAATACTTTAAATCAAGCTTCGTTAATGAAGTTGTAAGTGAATAAATGTGGCGAAAGCCACTCTCGAGAAATCCCTTCAGCGTCAAAAAATTTGTGGAACTTGCGAATCAAGTCAATTTAATTCATTCGCACACAAACAAAATGAATTCGCACCTCTGCAAAAGTATAATGTCAACGAAAAACAGCAATTCGTATACCTAATTAGAACAATCGCCGAACGTAGCTGAACCTGCCGTGTATGTGTGACATTTTTTAGGATGGAACTCAAGTGTAATAATCTATGCACATAATTTACAAATATTCACACTTTAGTGAAATGTTGATTGTATAATTTTACAAAAAAATGATTTACTCAAGGTTTAGCGTCAGCACCCAGTAAGGATCAGAATCGCTAAAGAAATAACAGCTTTCGAGTAGAGTTCCCACACTTGTTTCTATTCATTACTAAATATGTATCAATCTTGTATGGATCAAACTCATTAAAATAATATTATTTTCGTGATAACCCTAACCCTAACTTACTCTACGAATTTTATCTTAATTTGCTCAAATTCCAATGAATGGTCACCCAGTGAGAACCAGGCTTATTAAAATAGCAATTGTCTACAGGATTAGTATGTATTAAGCATTACTCACACTGACACAAGTAACATCACAAATCTTGGCACCCAGTCAGCATCAAACTGAATCGATTAGCAATCATTTTCAAGAAGATCTTATTTAAAACACCTTAAGAGAAGGTGACCTTTCTTTAAGATAACTTAACAGTCCAGCCCAAGGGCACACGAATACACTGGAATTCAAATATACCAGAATAGTTATTGTTATAGAATTATTAACTTGTAGAAGATTAACGCGTCCCATCATCAAATATTTACAACATAAACAAATATTATTCGATGTGCTTCCATACACTGGTTCGTCTATTTTCCTAACAACTGCTACTTTGTGGAACAGACTCCTGCCTCGATATTTTCCTGGACACTACAATCTTAACTTCTTCAAATCATGGGTTAAACGTTGCCTATCTTTATCCTCCTAATATTCCCTTCTCACCACCATTCTCTTTTATTCATATCACACATCTCATTCAACATAACCTTTTTTACAGAAACCAACTAACTTCGTGCCTTGTATAAAAAATTTCTACGCATAAAAAATATATATCTCGGATTTTCTTTGAGAAAATCTCATAGATTGCTGAAGCATAAGCATTTCCTGGTTCTATGAATCTTCAGTATTTATTTGGTTGGTTTCTTGACTGGGAAACCTACCCTTATGAAAGTGTTTAACAAAGGCAAGTGTTTAACAAAGACAAATGGCTTCCAAAATGTCTAACAAAGACATGTAACTTTTAAAATGTATAACAAAGACATGTGGCTTCCAAAATGTTTAACAAAATCATGTGGCTTTCATAGCTGTGTTGATTTCCTCTCTATGTATTGACTTACAAATTATTAGTTGTGTGGGATTACCTGATCTAAACGGGAACTATGTACAATGTAACAGTGATAAGAAAATGGTCAAAAGGTCTAATGATAATGTAGTGAACAGGACACGAAACCAGGAGTCAATTCCTCTATATCTTGAAGTGAGGAAAACTGTTTTTTGTTTTTTTGGCGCAGGAGGATCACCAGGCCTGTTCCATGTGAATCACATTAGGACCATAAAAGAATCTGAATTAAATCTTTAACATAGTATGGTTTTCAGGTACTTTCCAAAGGTGTTGCACGCTGTGTTCAATCCCTCCAGTCAGATAACATCAGCAAGTCTCCTTCCAGAAAAATAGACCATAGTGAGATTCGAACCCGAGTCTCACGTTCTAACCTTAGTTATGCTAATTAGGCACTCATTTACATAACACTATACATTTCACTACCGAACGTGTCTCTTCCGTGTTCTCTCCTTTTTCTGAAACAAATTGCATCCGAGTTTTACTAAACTCATCTGTAACGGTATCTGTATATATTTTTACCTATTGGCGAACTCAAAAAATGAAAATATTTTTTACTTTGAATTCTTAAAAAGTCGATTTCTTTCTATTTTCAGTTCCCTATGAAAAAAAGAATTTGTATTCATTTGGTTTGGTTTCGTTTCGTTTGTTTTACGGATTATCAATCTCAATTTGTTATTTAATGCTGACGAGATTTTTTATTGTAGTAATAATTTTCCAAAAATGTATTGTTGGTAATTTTTTTTTTCTTCAAAAATATATTGCTGTTAATATTTTTTCCTGAAAAATATTTATTGCTGGTATTAAAACCTATTTTTACACTTTCATAGTGTTTTGACCCCAGTTTGGGTGTTAACTATATGCTCATAGCTGGGACCCTAACAGGTCCTACCACGAAGTGATTCCATGCTCGTCAAAACCTCTTAGGAGACCCAAAATCTGTAATATTTCAAATACTTAAGTGGGATAGAAAAAAACAAAGTACCGTATCCCGATTGAGATTTAATTATGGTTTAATTAAAAGATATCAATTATAATTGCGACGAAAAGCAAAATTAAAATTAAACCTTTAATAAAGACGTATTTTTTAAAAACTTTCACTATATTCGATATTTAAATTTAACTTTAGATGGGTTATTTATTTAATTTTTAAGCACGTTTAACTACAGTAGTTACGAACTGTTACTTCAAGTTATTTATGATTTGCTGGGATCGGAAAAAAAAAACGGACGGACACACGTACACTGCGCTTTAATTATATAGAAGTCGTGCTCTTGTATCTGAAAGAGTCTTCTGCCACAAAAAGAATTCATAACTGATTGTCTCTCCGTAACTGTGAGAAGATAGAATGAAAGGTAGAATTAGATTCATGCCTTTCCTAAAAAAAATATTACTGCGACAGTGATATAAATATTCTCAGTGAAAATTCAAACTTCCATCGCCGATTCTGTTTTCTGTCTTGAAAAATTCTACACCACCTTGTACTTCGGAGAAATTCTTTTAAAAGTTATACAATCAGATGATTTAGTAGATAGTGTGAGATAAAAACGGTAATTTCACGCTTATTATCTCCATAAATAATCAACTGTTTTGTTCTTAAATATTGTCAAGTCTTCGTCTTATCTTTTAGATAAAACATTGCAGTACCTGTCACGTTTGTTATGATAGCCTAATGGTTGAGTGTCTTGTCTGGAGACTTCAAGTCTGCACTCTCCATTAGGATTTTAGGAATTCATTATCTAAACATTTATCTAAAACAATGATTTACTCTTTGAATAACATTTAAATTTCTTTTAATTTATATAATCATTAGATGCGTCGGCTTAATGTAGGAATCTCTTCGGATACATTATAGATGTTTGAGTGTGACAAGACATAATATATATCATTTTATTATTATTAAGTCAATCCGGAAATGATTCGATGATTTAAGGTGGTAAAAACGTAGCCTACGAGGTGGAATTTTATTTTAGACTTTCTCTAATATGCTGTCTTTATGAACTCAAACATTTATGACTTACACACTTCCAATTTCCGAAAATATCTGAAAATGCGTCTTTTCGAACATCTATTAGCTGCTTCATAGTCTTCTCCTTAATTTCATCTATGGTCTGATTATAGCTTTTGAAAATCCCAGAAGATAGAGTTAAATTTTAAAACTAGGCGAAGACCTGAGTAGATAGAATAATTTGTTAAATGTTCCTTCAAGATGCATAAATAATGTTCAGTAATCACTTTATAAAATGCCTGAATACTTTTGAGTTGGCTTACGGCCATATTGCTTGAAACCCCGGTTCCCGTACGATCAACGAAGTTAAGCAACATCGAGCCTGGCCAGTACTTAAATGGCTGACCGCTTGGACATATCAGGTGCTGTAAGTTTGGATGTACAGTTAGTTTAATGGATAATGGTCCGGAAATGTTAATCTTAGAGTTCCAATTCCAGTTAAATTAGCTTTATTCACTTTTTTCAAATACTCTTGGGAATGGTAAGAATTAACCTCTCCTCTCCTTAGTGGTATGAATTCTATATTTAAATCATTATTATTTCCAAAAATAAAATAAAAAATGTCTACAAGATATTTAGATTTAAATAATACACAGAGGCTGATATGACACTAAACAAAAACAAACAACCAATACTTTTGAAAGACTTCATATTGAAAATACATTTCTCTACATAGGTATATTTTATAAATAATGAAATCGTGTATAAAATTATGTGATTGATGCAAATATGGATAAAATCTTGGTATATTGATATGCACATTTTTATTTCTGCTGAATAATATGAAACGGTCACCATAAAAAAACGCTAAAATGCAGATATTTTAATGATAATAATATTGTCTAGGTTTTTAATATTAAAAGAAGAATTGTCAGACATTATTAATTTTTAAATAGATGCAAGGAAAATCAAGTAACATTACAATGAAATAATAATAGTGAAATGCAAAATTACTGGAAATAATAATTTCTAAAATCATGAATATTTTTTGTTGGGAAAGAATTTACATTAAAAGGCACATATTAAAAAATATAAATTATCATATAATATAAACACGTATATTAAAATTATGGAATGAAAAGCAAAAATGGTAAATCAAAAATTTATAACAAAATGAAAAAGCCTTCAGATTAACGAACCTCCTTTTTCAAAAATCAGTCGAAAATAAAACATCTGTGCACAAAATCACTGTTATCTATTTTTGTTATAATTTTTCGATTCACAGGAAATAATTTAATCCTTGCTCTTCCTCTCCTTCTTTTAATATATTTACATATATATTAATATATTTTTATATTTCATTTTTAACGCCATAATAAAATCATAGTTTTATTACTAATGCTACTACTGTATAGTTTGCATAAAAAAACAACATGACGCTGACTGATAAGGGTAAAATGACTTTATATATGTTAGGTTTGATAGCCTCAAGGTTCCCGTAGTTCAAATAGTATATCAGCTGTCACGGTAAGGCAGGTTTGACGAAGCAAAATGAAGGAGAGTTCGAATATTAACATGACATTATTTCCAATTCACAATTTTAAAAGCTGTAGAGTAATGGTTATTGTTGTTGACATGAAAAACGAAAACATGTTAAAATAAATAATAGTGAATATTTAATTATATTTTTCTTAATAAATCTTGTTTAAATGTAATGGAAAACGTATTAGCAATAAAATTAGAAATGTTTCAATCAGAGAAAGAACTTAGTCTTCTAATTTTACGTCACATATATTTATGAGATGTTGATCACGCCTGGTAAGAATATGAATTTGTATTTGTCGAGATGATGGAGTAAGCCATCTCAATTCGCAGATTGTTAACACCGTAGTAAATTCAATCTCCATTGAATAATTCACATCAGCCTATTACCGACAAATCGCATTTATGTAGAATATAAAAGAAAGAAATTTAAAATATGAAATCAAAGAAAATTATCAGATTTGAATATTCTTTGAATATTTTACTAAAATCTCTTGGTCGGGTTCTGAGCAGTTATCGATGTGGTACGTAGAATCGTTGAGCAAAATTTGAATTCCGATCAAGCACGACACTTTCGCTTTCATTTTCACACAAAGGCCCGTAGGAAAGGTACAAATAAATCCATGCCTTTTGCCCACCAATTATGAGTTAATAACAGGACAGACTGCCGAGAAGAACATTACTGATTACTCCCCGTAAAACGTACTTGCTTCCGAAATCACAAGAACGTCTAGTAATATGGTTCGGCTGATGCCTTATATTCCACAGAGGAGCCTCCCGTTTCAATTGGAAGGCAAAGAACGGTACCAAAAAAAAATAAAATAAATAAAATAACAATAAAAATAACAGTAAACAAAAAGTAAAAATAACAATAAAAATTAACAATATTTAAAAAGCGGGATACTTTTTATATTAAGTTATATTGACAAAATACGACGTCAGCCACTTCAAGAAACTACTACCACTGAATGTTTCATCGCGACATTTTTGTTACCTTTTCTTTTACCGTTTCTGTTATGTTATCCCTGTTACCGTTCTTTTTATTGTTCCAGTAAGTTCCTAACTTCGTCTGTTGTGATCTATATTTAAAAGAGCCATATCAAACCAGCAATGGCGTACAGCTGCCGTATCTGGTCTGCGAGTGCCCAGTGTACACTTTACAACCTTCTTAGCGTTCAGAGTTGTCTAGGCGGCTTGCGAGTGATGAAATATATTTCACTTTAGATCTCCTTTCGAAGTTAGTAATAAAGAAGTTCCATTTGAATCTTTAATTCGTGAAAAAGACGCCCGAGAGGATGCTTTTATCATTATAATCGTAACGTCTTTATATGTAAGGTTAACTGTTATCTTTCCTACAAATCCTCTTAAATTTCACTCCCTAACGCCCCTTACTAAGTGAAACCACCTCAATTAGTAACCCTCTACCTTGAGTGGCACATGGACCTTACGTTGGGTGAAATATTAGTAAAAAAAATCACAACCTACCAAATGTTTTGAATCACTATCCATTTCACTGCCAGAGAAAGTTTGGTTTAGAGCAAATAAAATTCTTTCAAAATGTCTTCTTACTCTCTTCACCGCTTTCATCTACAAATTGTTTTCAATTGTTTTGATTTACTGCCAGTGTTAAAAAGACGAGATAACTCGTTTGCCGCGGATAAGTATTTAGGCAATTTAAATATTGAAATTTGAGATGTGGTCTACAAAAGGCCTCAAGAAATTCTATTTTCTTTTATATTTTAAAACCAGTTTTATCAACGGCACATTCATAGAACATTTTTCTATCACCGATCTTTAAAATATATTTTCCGAGATTCTTATCAGTGTGTCTTTAACGCGTAAATATAAACGAAAATAAATTCAACTTTTGAAGTCTCCTACATGTTTTCATTGTCTGCGACAAAATAGAAAACTATTGTTCCGTTTCTATTAATGTTGTAGATTTACAAAGAGGTAAGGTAAGAAAAGTTTATTTTCGTTGTTTTCGTTCATAAGAACTTGTCTGAGTTGACAACGAGAATATAAATATTATTTATATATCATTATAATTAGAATAAAGTCATATATATATATATATATATATATGCGACATTCGATAGTTCTTGAGGTTAAGTGTTGAAATCTTCGGCGTCAAGACGTCTGCAAAAGTTTGTATTTTCACACATACAGATGAACAAGACTAACTTCAAATGACAGTTCATCGTGGAGAAATTATATAAACACATCCTAGAGATTATTTAAGAAGAGTCGAAAGAGAAAACACAGATTTGCTTTTAATGATTGATTCATCCAGACTTAGTCATATCTGTTTTATTTGGTCAGAAAAGAACTTTGTCAAGTTTGAAGTCAATTTCAAATATAATATTTATATATTTGTACATAGATAAATACATTCGGCAATGAACTGGTCAAAATTGATTTTTATAGGCTCGTAAAACATCCCTGTTTATCTGCACTTTCTCGTCTGCAAAAGGACATTAGATTTGACATTGTCATAATCTAATGAATTCTGCCTTTAGTCAATCTCGTTATTTTTAATGATAGAATGATTTGTTTTTTACGTGTTATCAACCTATTGCAGATTATTTAACAACTTCCCCTTTAGTCAATCTCTTTAAAACCAAATAAAAAATTCATCTGAAAATGAAAAGTTTTTCCTAAAATAACTGACAGAAAAAGATTTAATGCAAGAAAACATTTTTAAATTGTAAGAATTTCTTTGAAAATAATAATGATTTTTATTGATACAAGTTCTACAAATTATCCCATTGATGTTGGGAGGGGGGCAGCTAGATTATTACCTTTCCCAGGCTATTTGCACGTAAATGGGTATAATAAAACTGGCTAGGACTGGAACTCGTCTTTTTGGTTACCAATTCCGACTCTTTATCTATTATACCTCCTGCACACCCAAGGTTACGGCACCTGCTAGTTCCAAGCGGTCACCGATCTAGGTACTGACCAGGTTCGATTTTGTTTAACTTCGATGATCCGTCGACGACACAATCCACTTGGGAATTGTAATTGCTTTAGTTAAACGTCCGATTTCGCAGATGGGGATTTTAATCGATAATGTCAGTTTAATACAATCGTATGTATAGCATCACTTTGTTAGGATGCAGCCTCGATTTTGAACTGGATAAGGTCGGTTCAGTTCGTTTCTCCCAGGAACATTTTCACTTCAATTCCCCTGTGAATGTATTTTTTAAAACTAATTCGATTTTTTTTTTTTTTTTACATTTTGGCGGAGAATCGTAGATGATCTGGAAATATATAAATTTGTTTTCCTTAAATTCGTAGCGATTCGTAGATCCAAGTTTATTCAAGTAAAGATTAAAATCAAGGCCATAACTATTTCCTCGAATAATTCACTAAGAATTACGCATCTAAGCAATGCAAAAATAGTAAATAAATCGATACATGAACAGATATATATATATTTAAAATTTAGGAGTGACTTCATTAGATGTCCAGATATTATAGTATAGCGTCAAATCTGAGCTTCTTTTTTTAAATAAATAATAAAGGATGCCTTAAACGGAACCCGTGGCATTGCTAGTTTTGTTTTTCTATCAGTCTAGCATTCTCAAATTTAGTGGTTATCTATTCAGGTAATAACTTTTCGATTGCACTAATCCTGAACACCATTATCTTAAACTCTTGAAATCAATAGTTATCGCCTTTCCTTATATATATATATATATATATATATATATATATATATATATATATATATATATATATATATATATATATATATATATATATAACCTTCACTTCCTTCTACCTGCTTATTCGTATCAAATACCTCATTGCTATTTGGCAGTAACAATCTACCTTGGATGACTGTCGAGCCTTGTATTGGGTGAAATCTAATGTAAAAAAAACTA